CAGGGCAGGGTTGAAGACAAGCAGACGTCGTCGAAATATTACGAGAAAACCGCTTTGATCAACATAAACAAAAACACTTATCCCCCGGGCAGCGGACACACTGCTCTCCCTCTCACAGCCAGATCAAGACTGAACTCCGGGATGGTTTCGCGCACTCGCATACTGAGGTTTCTTCTGCGGGGGAAGTTGGCGGGGATTTATGTTCGCGCTGAGGTGTCTTTCTCCTCTCTTCTCTTCTTCCTTCTCTTCTCTCTTTCTCTCTCTTTCCTCTCTTCTTCTTCCTCTTCTTCTTCTTTTTTTCTTTCTCCTCTCTCGTTCTCTTCTCTCTCTCTCTCTCTCTCTCTCTCTTTCTCTCTCTCTATCATCTCGTCTCTCTCTCTCTCTCTCCTCTCTCCCTCTCTCTCTCTTTCCTCCCCTCCTCTCTTTTTCTTCTTTCTCTTCCTTCTCTCTTCTCTCTCGCCTCCCTCCCTCTCTCCTCTTCTCCCTCCTCATCTCTCTCTCTCTCTCTCTTCTCTCTCTCTCTCTCTCTCTCTCTCTCTCTCTCTCTCTCTCTCTCTCTCTCTCTCTCTTCTCTCTCTCCCTCTTCCTTCGCTCTCTCTTTTTCTCCTTCTCTCGTTCCTCCCTCCTCCTTTCGCCACCTTCTTCTCCAACGCTTCTATTCATTCTTTTTCTTTCTTTCAATCATTCTTCTTCTTCATCCTTCTTTTTACTCTCCTCCTCTTCTCCTCCTCCTCCTCCCCTCCTCCTTCTTCCCTCTCTCTTCCTTTCTCCTCCTTCTCCTTCTTTTCCTCCTATCTACTCTTCTCCTCCTCCTCCTTTCCATATCTCTATTCCTCCTTCCTCCTCCTCCTTTCCCTCTTTTTATTCCTGCTCCTCCTCTTCCTCCTCATCCTCTCCTCTTATTCCTCCTCTTCCCTTTCCTCTTCCGCCTCCTCCCTCCTACTCATCCTCCAGCTCCTCCTCTCTTCCTAACCCTCTCTTCATATTCTTCCTCACCTTTCTGCTTTCTTCCTAATTCTACCACCTCCCCCTCCTCTTCCTTTCTTCTATTTTTCAACCTCCTTCTCGTCGTTCCTTCCTCTCTCCTACTTCTTCACCTCCTCCCCCTCCTCTTCTTCTCTGCTATTCTACCTTTTCCTCCTTCTCCTTCCTCCTGTTTTTCTACCTCTTCCTCCTCTTTTTCCTCCTCGTCATCATTATTGTATTTCTATTTTCATTATCATTGTCATTATTTTTGTTCTCGTTGTAATCATTGTTATTCTCGTTATCATGATTATCGTAATCATGCATCGATTTGTAGTGTTCTGTTATTGTATTTTTGTTGTTTTACGTGTTTACTGTTTGCGTTTTATTATCATTATGGTCATTATACTCCTCCTCCCTCCTCTTTTCTCCTTCTATTTACCTCTCGTCCCTTACTTCTCTCTCTCCTCCCTCCCTTCTCCTCCCCTCCCTTCATCTCTCTCCTCCCTCCCTTCTCCCTCTCCTCCCTCCCTTCTCCCTTTCCCTCCCTTCCTTCCTCCTCTCCCTCCTTCTCCTCTTTCCCTTCTCTCCCTCCTCCCACCCTTCTTCTCTCCCTTCTCTCTCTCCTCCTCCCTCTCTCCCTTTCCCTCTCCTCCCACATCCCTCTCCCCCCTCCCTTCTCCCTCTCCTCCACCATCCCCTCCTCCCTCCCTTCTTTTCCTCTCCCCCTCCCTGCCTCCCTCTCGATTCTTCCCTCTCCCTCCTCCCTTCATCCCTCTACTCTCTCACTTCTCCCTCTTCTCCCTCACTTCTATCTCTCTCCTCCCTTCCCCTCTCCTCCCTCCCTTTTCTCCTCTCCCATTTCTCCCTCTCCTCTCTCCCTTCTCCCTCCCTCCCTTCATCCCTTTCCCTCCTCCCTTCTCCCTCTCCTCCCTCCTTTCATCCTCTCCTTCCCTTCCTCTCTCCTCCCTCCTTCCTTCTCCCTCTTTCCCTTTCTCCCACTCCATCCTCTCTTCTACCTCCCTTTCCCTCTCCTCCCCCTTTTTCTCTCCTCTCTTCATTTCTCTCCCTCCTCACTCCCTCTCCTTCCCTCCTTCATCCTTTCCCTTCCTTCCCCTTCTTTCCCTTCTCCCACTCCATCCTCTCTTCTACCTCCCTTCTCCCTCTCCTCCCTTTGCCTATATTCACGTTCACTGTTATATTTGAAGAGCCTTGTTTCAAAAGACTTTTTTTCTCTCTAAGAGAAATGAGGGCACAAGGTCAATGCAAAAACAGAATTTTAGATGTATATTTGTTTCAATAAAAAAAAATAGATAAAAAAGAGTACAAGAAAAACAGAAAAGAGGGAGAAGAGAGAGAGAGAGCGAGAAAAAGAGAGGAGGAAGAGAAAAAGAGGGGGAAGAGAAAGAGAAGAGAGAGGGGAGAGAGAGGAAAGGAGAGTGAGAGGAGAAGGGAAATAGAGAGGAGGGTGAAGAGAAACGGAGAGAGTGAAAGAAAGAGAGAGAGAGAGAGAGAGAAAGTGAGAAGAACAAGGAAGGGAGGGAGAAGAGAGAGAAAGAGAGAGAGAAAGAGAGAGAGAGAGAGAGAAGAAGAGAGAGGAAAGACGAAAAGAGGTTAGAGAAAGAGAGAGGAGAGACAGACTTTTTGACAAGTTTATTAGGGCAAAAGCTTTTATCTCAAAGGATGGGGCAACTTGGGTCCTCACCCTTATCTTAATAACTCCAAACCTTAGGTATATCAAGAGATGAGAATATGTACTAAACTTCAGCTACAAAAATACAACCTTTCACAGTCAATGGCTTGCATATCGGTAGCGAGATATAAGTGAGAGAGAGAGAGAGAGTCAGAGAAAGACAGACAGACTGAAGAGAGAGGAGAGAGAGAGAGAGAAAGAGAGAGAAAGACATACAGAGAGGAAGAAAGAGACAGACATACAGATAGAAAGAGAGAGATAGGAGAAACAGACAGGCAGATAGAGAGAGGAAGGGATAGAGAGAGAGACAGACAGACAGAGAGAAGAGACACTCAGACAGAAAGAGACAGACAGACAAAGACAGAGCGAGAAGGAAGCACAAGAAGCACTGGCGGCGCCGCTGTCAGTATGAGGTATCATTGACAACCGGGTGAGTTCGGGAGGGCGAAAGCGAGTGCTCTCTCTCTCTCTCTCTCTCTCTCTCTCTCTCTCTCTCTCTCTCTCTCTCTCTCTCTCTCTCTCTCTACTTCTTCTCTCTCTCTCTCCTCTCTCTCTCTCGCTCTCATCATCTCTCTCTCTCTCTCTCTCTCTCTCTCTCCTCTCTCTCTCTTCTCTCTCTCTCTCTCTCTTTCTCTCTCTTCTCCTCTCTCTCTCTCTCTCTATTCTGTCTGTCTTCTCCTCTCTCTCTCGTCTCTCATCTCTCTCTCATCTCTCTCCTCTCTCTCTCTCTCTCATCTCTCTGCTCTCTCTCCTCTCTCTCTCTCTCTCTCCTCTCTCTTCTCTCTGTCTGTCTCTCTCTCTCTCTCTCTCTCTCTCCTCTCTCTCCTCTCTTCTCTCTCTCTCTCGGTCTCTTTTCTCCTCTCTCTCTCTCTATCTCTCTCCTTCGGCATCTTCTCTCTCCTCCACCTGCCTCTCTCGCTTCCTGTCTCTCGCGGTTTCTCGGGTGCTCTCTGCACCCGCTCTCTCTCTTTCTCTCTCTCTCCTCTTCCTCCTCCCCCCTTCCCCACTCTCTCTTCCTAACTCTCTCTCTAATCCTCGCCACTCTCTCCTCTCATGCTCAGATCCTCCCATCTCTCTCCGGTCCCTCCCTCCTTTCTCTCTCTCCTTGGTCGTTTCTCTTGGGTCTGTCTCTCTCTCTGGTCTCAATCTCTGTCTCTCTCTCGTCTCCCTCTCTGGTCTCTCTCTCTCTCTCTTCTCTCCTCTCTCCTTCACCTCTCTCTCTACTCGAACGAAGCTTTGCTCCTCGGACGTCCGCCTCTCTCTCAATCTCTCTCTCTCCACTCTTCGTCCAGTGAGCCAAATTAGCGTACGGTTTCTTCTCATCCTCTCCAGGTCTTGCTCTCCTCAGTGCTATTCTCGTCTCTTGCTCTCTCTCTCTCCTCCTCGTTGAGGAAGTACACATTTGGTTAAACGCGCAGCTCGTTCGGGATGTATCTCCCTCTTCGGCAGCGCCTCAGCTCGCACTCATTTTTCCTCCTTCTGTCTAACACACCTTCTTTCTCTTCTATTCTCGCCCTCTGCTTCCTCCTTTCTGCTCCGGGACTCCCTTTTCCTTCCCTCTTCGGGTCATCCGTCGCCCCCGCTGGCGATCCGCTCCTCCTTTCTTGTTATCCTTTCTCTTCCACTCTTTCGTTTATCGCTAAGCTTCCTTTTGCTACTTTCATTCTATCCATCCTTTTTTCTTCTTTCTTTTTTTCTCTTTTTTTCTCTCCATTTTCCCCCATCTTCGTCCTCTTCTTTCTTCCTTTTTCTCTACGCCATCCCTTCTCTCCTTCCTTCTTCTTTATCTCCCTTTCCTACGTCTTCATCTTATTCGTGTTCTCTTATTCTCGCTATCGCTATGCTCTTTTTCTCCTTTCCCTTTTTTTCCTCCTCTCGCTTCCTCTTTTCCGGTCCCTTCCCTCCCCTCCTCCTTCTTCTTTCCCCCTCTTCCCTTATCTTTATTCGCTAATTTCGCGACCTTCACTCTTCTCGTTTAATTCTCTTTCCCTTCATCTCTATTTTTTGAATAAGTTCCTTGCTCTAGCCTCTCCTCTCCTCTGTCCTTCTCTTTCCTCCCTCTTCCATTCTTTTCCCCTTCCTCCTATGGTTTCTTCTCCTTTATTTCAACTACGTTCTCTTCACTGACTTCTTTGGTTTTCTCTCCCTCCATTCTTTCCTTCATCACTCCTCCCCTCCCTTTTTATTTTATCCTCTCGCTGTCTTTCTTCTCTCTCATCACTTCCCTTCCCTTCCCCTCGGTATTTTGTCTTTATTCCATTCTTTGTACCTCCCCCTCCTCCTTCTTCTGCTTTTCGCTCTTCTTATTTTCGTTCCCGTTCCACTTCCCCTCCGGCTTCCCTTCTTCTNACATCGCGTTTTCTTTTTTTCCTTTTAAAATTAAATCCTATCTTTGTACTTATTTCTACTCAACTGTTACCGTATAATGACATGAACATACTTTAGGTTTAATTTAATTTATTTTATTCTCCTTGA